ATCACAAATCTCTCCGCTGATTCCTGGCTGGTGCTCCTCCTGCGGCAGCAGCCCAGGGAGAGGAGCCAGCGGAGCAAGCAGCATCGGTGCCCATGGCAACAGGCATCCCTGCTTTGAACATGCCAATCCTCCCACCACCAGCAAAGCACATTCCCGGGGTGTTTTTCCTCTACAAATAGCTCCTGTTTTCACTTTTTCGTGACAGCGAGGGATGTTCCTTGCTTTCTGAATTCTTCACGGGCCTGGGCAAAAATGAGGGGGAAAAGGGATGTTTCAGAAAATGTCTTTGAAACTTCAAGCAGCTTTTCTAGTTGAGGGAAAGGAAGGCGGAGGAGTATAGGAGTGTTGTCCCACCCCAGGGCCCTGAGAAGTCAAAGGCTGAGGCAGACGCCCTCAGCGAGGTGCTCCTCAGCCATTTAAAGCAAGTTTCCCCATCTGCTCAGATCACCATCGCTGCCTTACACAGCACAGGGAGGCTGACTTGCTTGCGAGGTGCTAAGGGTAACTGCTAAGGACTAGCAATGGCCAGTGCTGGTGAGCTCCTAGCCACTTCCTCCGGCCATCCTCAGCCAGGAAGTCCTCACATTATCTGTCTTTCATTGCCCAACCGTGGACCACAGCTGCGGAAGTTTCTGAACTCACTTGAGCAAATAGGTAAGCTCATGCAGAGAGCTCATTCCCACCCTGGAGAAGGCGCCAGCGTGGCACCTGCACTCCGTGTTGGACAGCACGCTCCATGTGCGGGTACAGCAGTGAATAACGGCAGGAACAGCCATGGGACACAGAGGAGAGAGGAGCTGCACAGCGTCACCACCCTGCGGGGCCTGGGCTGCCCATGGCGACGGCAGAGCCGGCCTCTGCCCAGGGGAAAAGCGAAGGGGCGGGTGTGGCAAGGGCTATTTGCAAATGTCCAATGTGAAGCCTCCTCCACCTCCAGAGTAGTGGGCAGCTGTTCCACAGCTCTACGCAGCTAAGTCACGCTTGACAGTCTTATTTGCATCTGGCCCAGTGATGGGTATTAACAGCTCTGCATTCCCTACCACAATGCAAACAATGGCAGGCATTTGTATATTTCCAGCTTCTGCGTCGCAAATGCTAATGAAGCGGTGAAACGAAATGGAAAGGAAGGTCATTTTTTTTTTTCTTCCTTACTAGTAATAGTGGAAAAAATGAGGAATTAACCATTTTGAAAAAAGCCTTTTTGACTTTGGGCAATATATTTTTTAATCCATAATTAAAATAAAATAAATACTACCCGTGTTTCCCCGAAAATAAGACATCCTCCGAAAATAAGACCTAGCGCATGGAAAGATAAGACATCCCCTGAAAATAAGACCTAGCACAACTTTGGGAGAAAAAATTAATATAAGACACTTTCTTATTTTTGGGGAAATAGGGTACATCTTAAACTACAATTCAATAGATATACACTGAGTGGCCAGATTATTATGATCTCTGAACACATAATAATCTGGCCACTCACTGTATATCTACACTAATAAAAGAGAAACGTGCAAATTGACCGTACCTCTGCTATGCCCACAAGCCATGCCCACCGGCTAATGAGGAGTGAGTATGCAAATTAACCCAACCAAGATGGCTGCGGCCACGGAGCAAGCAGGAGGCTTGGGTTGCCTCCTGCGATGGAGAAAGCGAAGCTTCCTGTCTGCCCTGGCCAGCCCTGGCCTCCACTCAAGGCTACAAAGTTTCAATTATAAAAGATAAATAAATCCCAGATTCCAGGGCCTCCACTTGGGTCACTGGGGGGTGTGGCTGGCTTGCAAACCACCATAGGCCTCTTGTCCGAGCCATCCTACACCCGAAGGGAACCCCCATCCTGATCTGGGACATCCTTCAGGGCAAACCAGCCAGACCCCACCTTTGCACAAGGCCTCTATTCTAATAAAAGAGTAACATGTAAATTGACCATCACTCCAACACATAAGATGGCCGTCCCCATGTGGACACAAGATGGCCACCACAAGATGTCCAGCAGGAAAGAGCAGTTGGGAGTGACTATGTCTGCAAGGGAGGGCAGTTGTGGGGACCAAGGCCTACAGGAGAGAGCAGTTGGGAGGGACAGGCCTGCAGGGGAGGGCAGTTAGGAGTGACCAAGCTGACAGAGGGAAGTTGGGGATGACCGGGCCTGCATGGAAGGGCAGTTGTGGGGGACCAAAGCCTGCAGGGTAGAGCAGTTGGGGGGACCAGACCTGCTGGAGAGGGCAGTTAGGACAATCAGGCTGGCAGGGGAGGGAGTGGTTAGGGGCAATCAGGAAGGCAGGCAGGCGAGCTGTTGGAAGCCAGAAGACCTGGATTGTGAGAGATGTCCAACTGCCCATTTAGGCTCGATCCTACCGGACATCTCTCAAGGAGTCCCAGGTTGGAGAGGGTACAGGCTGGGCTAAGGGACATCCTCCCCTCTCCAATGCATGAATTTTGTGCATTGGGCCTCTATTCCTATATAATAAAAGGCTAATATGCAAATTGTCCCCTTGACCAGGAGTTTGACCAACAGGTAGGCCAGCCAACTGCCCATGTCCTCTCTTCCTGGCCAGGCTGGCCGGATCCCACCTAAGCATGAATTCATGCACCAGGTCTCTAACATGTGTGTGCGTATATATATATATATATATATATATATATATATATATATATATACTGAGTAGCCAGATTATTATTTGTTCAGAGATCATCATAATCTGGCCAGTGTATATACCAAGTGATTTTTTAAATTAAAAATAATAGCAGCACGCCAAAACCGGTTTGGCTCAGCAGTAGAGCGTCGGTCTGTGGACTGAAAGGTTCCGGGTTCGATTCTGGTCAAGGGCATGTACATTGGTTGTGGGCACATCCCCAGTAGAGGGTGTGCAAGAGGCAGCTGGTCGATGTTTCTAGCTCTCTCTCTCCCTTCCTCTCTGTAAAAAAAAAAAAAAAAAAAAAAAAAAAATAGCACTACTTCTACCAGATTCCAACTATAGACTAGCACGTTGGAAGCTTCAAGCAGCCCACCAAAACAGTGTTCTGGGACCCAAAGCTCCAATGTGTTGGGGTGATTCCTACCGACGAGGTGATGCTCCAGGTACCAGCTGTCCCACAATTCAATTCTTCGGATGCTCTCTACCTGGAGAGGGCGTCAGATCCCGAAGGACCAGGGCTCAGAGCCTCTGCTGCAAGCGCCAATCGCAAGCCCACACTGTTCCCTGAGTTCTGACCACCTGGTCAGACCAAAGGTTCTGTAATCACCTCTGCAGACAAAAGGTTTAAAAAAATTAAAAAAAAGAGAGGGGGGATCAAATAAATGTTCAAAAGGGGAAAAACAGGTCAATCAGGTTCTAGAGAAAAGGGAACAGATGCTAACAATATAAAAATCATCCTTGCCCTCCCTGGCTTAGCTCAGTGGAGAGAGCATTGGTCTTAAGGGTCCCAGGTTCAATTCCGGTCAAGGGCACATGCCTGGGTTGCAGGCTCAATCCCCTGTAAGAGGCTGTGCAGGAGGCAGCCAATCAATGATTCTCTCTTATCATTGATGCTTCTCTCTCCCTCTCCCTTTCTCTCTGAAACCAATAAAAATATATTTAAAAAAAAATCCTTAAGCTTAATCCCTCTCACTCGTTTTGTTTGATAGGCTACAAAGAATCCTCAGACCAAAATTCAAGGTATAGCTATTTTCTTAACCCATCAAACCTAATTTCCAAGAAATTAAGTTATATAAATATAAAATGACCTTCTTCAATGATCATTACCAAATGGAGCTTTATGCATAGTCTGTTTCCCAGCCTGGTCTAAAGAGGAATCACACAGTGGCACAAACACCTGTTTCTAGCAAGCAAAATACACCAAAAAGATAATTCACAAAATCTTCAAACTACCAAAACATGTGAGGGAAGGAAGATGAAAGAAAGCAAGATAACTTCTGGAATATGGTTTTCGATCAGTGTAAGCATCCCTCCAGAATTGCAGAGTAAACTTTTAATGAAAAAAATGACACCAGAGAACATTATATTGTAAATATTATATTTCTCACTCACACACATTGTATGAGACATTTACTACGTTTAATATGTATCCATAGGATTAATACTCATACGGAGTATAATGTGGGAAAGTGCAGAACTAAAGAAATAAGTCTATCTGAAAACAAAAGCACATTTCTTAGAATTTAAAAATATTGCACATAATAAGGTTGCGCAGAAATTACTGCTCTTACAAACAGAATGAGGTATTAGTCAATTTCTAGATAAAGATGAGTGCAAAGAGGAGGAAACACACAAAAAACCCCCCATAAACCTGTATTAAGTCATACAGGGCCAACAAGAAAGAAAAGATATGTGAAGTAGCTATGATTCCAACCTTACAAAATCATTAGCCAGGGGCCAAATATGTAACAAACTCTTGGCAATTATTTCATAACTTTCCAACTTTTTCCAGCACAAGTGACTATGAGCAGCATGACCATTTCCAGAGCAGAAAGGCATGGCCCCATGGTAAACATTAAACCAGGCCTTCCTGAAGCTGTCAGTGGAAATTGACCAAAGAGCTGCTTCCCCTTGCTTAACCACTCATTGTCCAGTTCCACGTACTTAGCAACTCAAGTGAGCCATGCTACACAGCATGCAATTTTAAGTTAGTAAAGGTTCCACTGCAAAAATCATTCAAGTTCGTACAACTAAACCCTAAAAGAAATGTAAGTTTAACCTTTAAATATAAATTAGGCAAACTCACTCCTTCCTTGGTATTAAAACTGGCCCCAGGTGGAGAAAAAAGACCAGGCAAAATTACATCTCCTTTTTCTTTTTCAAGACCCTTTACTAATCAGAGAAATTAATAGTTAACAATTTCTTTACTAACTGAATGTTAATTTGTCAAAAACAATTTAAATATATTTAACAACTGTATCAAGTGAAATCATGCACTTATCAAAACAGTTCACAGAAAACTGTTTTGCATCATAGATTTTGAAGAACAGTCAACTAGCTTGGTGAGAACAGAGAGAAAACGAACTACTGTCCTGAACAGTCAGTGTACGTAGTGACCATATTTCCCCTGCGCTGAGTGACAGTCCTGCAGTGCTTGCTAGATCCATGGAATCTGTTCTCGGCGTGCCGGCCAGCGGAGTCAAAGCCGCTGAAAGAAAACATTTTCTCCATGTCTTCAAACACGTCATCGAACAGTCCGCCTCCGAAAGAGAACTCCTGGAAATGATGCCTCTGTCTGCTGGAACGATCCTGGCGCGTCTGGAAGTGATTTTCAAAGTGCTTCTTAGACCGAGTGTTTTGGTTTTGACCAAAAAATCCAAAGTCTTTGAATAAGTCATCGAAATTGAAGTTAAATGACTGCTCGAAAGGCCTTCCAGTGCCTCTCTGTCCTTTGCCGTTAGTGAAAGCACCGTGTCCAAGAGAGTCGTACTCTTTCCGCCTGTCAGCATCCGACAGTGTCTCATATGCTGAAAGAATAAAGACACTTTAGTAACTGAAGGTAATCAGGACTGCTTACCTCTTCAGTAAGTACATTTAACTATTTTAGAGGCTTTCACATTTAAGTAAAACCAAAGTATACAAAAATAAGAATAAAGGATCAACAAAATGAGACCCGAGACAGGAACAGACTGAGATATACCTTGATATGGGGTTGGAGGACAAGAAGAGAGAAACCAAAGGACTTATATGCATACCCATGGGCACAGGCAACATGGTGGGAAAGATCTGGGGTGGGGGTGGGGAGGATTGGAGCTAGGAGGCGGGGCGGGGGGAGAAATAGGAAATATCTGTAATACTACCAACAATAAAAAATATATTAAAAAAAGTGAAAGTTAAAAAAGGCAGGATAGTATAGTATGCAATATGTTCATTGCATACTATACACAGTTAGCTCAATGCATGCTCCTAGTAAACAGATATTTGTGAAATGAATGTGTTTTTTTTCATACTTTTCCTTTAAAGACAAATTTGGCTTTGTAATGTAGATCAAGGAAGGTAGAAAAAAAAAATACCAAGGCATTTCAGTCTATTTAAATTTACACTTAATTTTTTTATGTTAAATCTCCATTCTTAAACATTGTTTCATAAGTTAGTTTATAAGTATTGGGTACCAAAAATTCCTTTTGATACTGAAACAATAAGCAGTTTTACAAATAAAATTTTCAACACATTTAGATCCGTAGTCAATAAAAAAACAAAACACCATTTTATCCCCCCATTCAGGAATCAAAGTTATCTGTTATCTGAGATGATCTGAGATTCAGGAATCTTGCTATACGGAAATGTAGATCCCACTGCACCTCCCCTCTCCACCGTCTTCAACACATACACCCTTCCTAGCTATCCTCTCCTTCACTGTAATACCTGTGAGGCCTCAGGCGGGCGCTGACTTACCTTCTGCAATCTCCCTGAATTTTGCTTCGGCATCAGGGCTCTTATTTTTGTCAGGATGGTACTTCATGGCCAGTTTGTGAAAGGCCTTCTTGATCTGGCGCTCTGATGCCGATTTTGGCAAACCCAAGATATCATAGTAACTTTTTGAGGCCAGAATTAATTCCGTTATCATTAAAATGCAGATGGCGAACGTGAAAACTGACTGGGGAGTAGCCATTTCCAATGCCCTAAAAGAGAAAAGACAGACAGTGTTATTATCCATGGCACTAATCGTTAGACTTTCTTCCAAGAGAAACCCAATAAACTTTCGGGGCACAGGGCAGACTGTACGTGACCCCAGGTTTTTCTCTCATATAGGCTCTGCGGCCCTTACCTTGGCTGCAACCTTCTCAAGGGCAAATATAATGCAGCCGAACGGAGAAAAGCATTTGTCCCTGCCTTCCCCCTAACAAAGCAGGCTACGCACAGAATACACATAAAAACACTCAATAACTGACGTTTCCCAGTTAATACTGGGGAGGTGGAGTGGGGGGAAATGGGAAATCCAGGAAATATTTTACAGGATCTCAGGAATTCATGTTCTAAGGGAGTTAAAAAAAAAAAAGTAGCTTAACTCGGCAGAAAAAGGCTAAGATTACCAAGGGGCAGAGCTCGCCTGCCTGATTAGATGGTCCTTCCCCACCCTGAGCTTCCCGCCGGCATCTGCGCACCGGGACCCCAGGCTGACAGCCCGAATCTCCGCACCGCAGCCGGGCCACGGCCGCCCGGCCGGACACGGGGAAGGCCGTCACTTCCTGACCCATTTTAAGGTCCCCAACAGCCAACACGAGTCAACAAGTCTTGTCCGACGCCCTTCAGAGAACTTCCTTCCATCCCTCGCGCCTCGGGGGCCGTCAGGACAGTCCTGTCCCTGCGCGGCCGCGCGGAGGGGGGAGGCAGGGCCGGGCCCGGGGTCCCGGGACGATGATGACACCGCGGCTGACGAAAGACGCCGGCGGTCGCCTCCCTCCCCGCCCGCGGCCTCCGCGGGGCGCAATTAGCAGGTGGATCGCTTCTCCCGGCGGAGTCACGGTCGCGGGGGCCGGGGGCCAAGTGCAAGCTGCGGGCGGACAGGGCGCCCGCGGCCGCCGGCTCCGCGGGGGCAGGTCCCGGGCGGGTCCCAGCCCCGCGGGGAGCGCCCTGCAGGCGCGGCGGCCGCGGAGCCGTTCCCAGCGGCAGGTCGGAGCCTGCGGAGCAGCCGGACGACGGCTCTGCACCGACTTTCACTCCCGAGAGGCCGTCCCGGAGGCGGGGGCCCCGGGGGGGACGGTGCAGCCTCCGCCCGGGGCGCGACCCACGCCCCGCCCGCCCGGCCCGGCTCCTTCTCCGGGCGAGCGGCCCGACGCCCCGACGCGACGCGCACTCAGCGGTGCGACCGCCTCCTCCTCCCCGGAGCCTCCCGCTCAAACCCCGGCGACCCCGGGCCCTCCGGCCGCCGCGCGGGGCGGCGAGGCCGAGTCGCCCACAAAGGATGCGCCAGGCCCCGCGCCCCCCGGCGGCTGCCGCTGCGACGGGCTCCGCACAGCGGCTCAGCCCGGCCGCTCCCTCGGCCCGGAGTGCCCCCCGGAGCCGGCCCGCGGCCGCCGGGACACCCACCTCGCCCGCCTCCTGCCTTCACCTCCGCCGCCTCCGCTCCCCGCCGGCTCCCGACTGGCGCTCCGCGGCAGCGCGCGTCCCCACCGCCTAAATCCTACACGAAACGCTCCCCTATTGGCTCCCGCCGCCCCACGTGACCGTGGCGCCCTACGCGCACGTGGAAAACTGTTGTTGCTGTTCAGCGGATACGTCACTTCCGGATTATTACCCCCTCCTCCCTCCCTCCCTCCCTCCCCGAGGGCGGAGCGGAAGCCCGCAGAAGCGGAAGTGGCTCGCTGGGGGCGGTGCCTTCCTCTAGCCCGTGCGCGCGCAGGCGCGGTGGCGCGCGCGGCCTGGGTCCGGGCCCCGCTGTGCCCCTCCCGGCCGGGCCCCCTCCGGGCCGCGCGGGAGCCATGCCCCGCTATTGCGCGGCCGTTTGCTGTAAGAACCGACGGGGACGGAGCAACAAGGACCGCAAGCTGAGTTTTTACCCGTGAGTAGCCGCTGGAGCGGGAGCGTCGGCCTCGCTTCAGGGCCGCGGGGTCCGGCCGTTCGGGGTCGGGGGTCAGGGTGTCCCGGGCCGGGCCGGGGGCCGGGCCTGTGGGGGCTCCCGCCTCCCCGCCCCATGGCACTGACCTCACCGCTGCCCCGGAGGGTGCACCGGCCCTTTACCCGCGGGGCTGGGTCCGGGGTCGCTCCCCCGCTCCTTCCCCGCGGGGACCGGCCTTTCCGGGCTCCCGGGCGCCGCCCGCCGGGGTCGGGGCAGAGCCGCCGCCCGCGGCCTCAGTCACGGGCAGAGCGGCGCCGCCGCGGAGCTCCCGGCATCGCGCCCCTCCTCCCGCAGACCGGAGGGCAGCGGGTGTCCTCCCTTGTGGAGTCCACCCCCGGCGGCGGCTTTAGGCTCGCCGTCTTAGGGGCCCTCCGGGGTGCAGGCCCCGGTTCACACGGAGCGCGGGCCCCCGCTGCGTGCTCACGCGGAAGGCCACGCGTTGAGAACCTTCTGTCCCCTTCCCCTGCGCTTAAGAGAGCGCGTTTGGCTCTAGCCCGGCTGCCTCTCTTGTTCAGACCTGCAGCTCCCTGCTCAGGAATGACAGCCTGAATGAAGCACCTGGTTGGGGACGTGGAGCTGTGCTTTTTGTATGAAAAACCTGTTACTATTTATTTTTTAGGTAGGAGGTTATGTTATGGAATATTAGTAACCCTGCGCCCTGCCGCTTGCTGCCCTGCCCTCCTGTGGCTCCCCCTGCACCCCTCCCCCCAATAGCTCGCCGCTCTGCCCTCCTTAGCTCTCCGCCAGCTGGTGGCTCGCTGCCCCACCCTCTGCTGACCCGTGATGCGGTCGTTATGCTCCACGGCGTAACCATCCTTTGCATATTACATCTCTTATGAGATAGGATGTGTCTTGGAATGTGTTCTTGTAAATTATTGAAAGAAAAATAAATTACTATTAAGTGTTTAATACAGTTTGATCCAAATCCATTTACCTAGTTAGAATGGCAGGGAACGTTTTGTGTAAAAGCCTGCATTAGCCTAATTTTGCCTGTAAAAAACGTTGATTCTGCGAGAGCTTACGCTAAGGCCATTGTCAGTACTTGTATAAAGAGCCCTCAACTTTCTCTGTCTTTTCTGTTTCATTCGTTTCATATTATAAAGTAGATCTGAGTCTGTCTTTTCTCTTGTTCTTGTGTCATTTTCTCTTTCAGAACTTGAATTTTAGAGTTCCCAGTTCATTGGTTATAGCAGTGGTGGGCAAACTACGGCTCGTGAGCCACGGTTTGCCGCTCTGTTGATTAATGAGTTTGCTGACCACTGACCTAGACTCTTGCTTCCAATAATTACAGGCTGTTGTTGTTCCTTGTGATTAAGCCTCTATTCCCGTGGTCAGCAAACTCATTAGTGAACAGAGCGGCAAACCACGGCTCTCAAGCCGCATGTGGCTCTGGAGCCGCAGTCTGCCGACCCTGGGTTATAGGAAGCTTAGGAATATTGGACTAAATTACATGCGGGTAGAATTGAGGGTGATTCTGGTAAAGAGAACGGAATATTAATATCTTATAAGACTTGGTGTTCATTTTGTCAGCTCAACCGTTTGAGTTAACTTCTTGTTTTAAATATTAACATAGCCCAGCTGGCGTGGCTCATTGGTTAAGCTTCAATCCTCAGTAGGGGGCATGCAGGAGGCAGCTGATGAATGATTCTCTGTCATCATTGGTGTTTCTATCTCAAAACTGTAAAAATATAGCAAGATTTCCCTTTTGTAATTTTAGGTTTCCTCTACATGACAAAGAAAGACTTGAAAAATGGTTAAAGAACATGAAACGGGATTCATGGATGCCCAGTAAATACCAGTTCCTGTGCAGCGACCATTTCACTCCTGACTCTCTTGACGTCAGATGGGGGATTCGGTACTTGAAACAAACTGCAATTCCAACAATATTCTCTTTGCCTGAAGACAGTCAGGTATTGGAGGCAGGGCAAGCGGGGAGAAAGCTGAGCAGGGGGTGGATTGCAGAGAGACAGGAAATTGGGTGGAAGGAGGGAGAGGGAAAGGAGGAAAAGTGCTGGAAACAGATACTTGAGAAAAAGAAAGCTGATTAATGCTTTTACTAACATGATAATTTTTTAAAACTAAACCATTGTGAAGCATAGCTTAAGAGGAGCAAAAAAATAGCAGATGTAAATCATTAACTTACCACAAGTTAATGATCTAAAGGTATTTTTACTGGTCTTTTGAATGATCTGAAATGTTTCCATTATATATTTAGGATGCTGAGTGCTTTTTAAAAAACTTTAAAGTCTACTTGAGTTACATTCTTAGAATTTTTTTAAACTGAATAAATTGGCTTGGCCAATATACTGCTTAAAATTGTAATTTAGTATTCAACACTGATTAATAAGAGAACAAGCCTAATAAGGACATCTTTTTCAGTATTTGAAAATATTATTTTCCAGGAAAAAGACCCTTCCAAAAACAACTGTCAGAAGAAAAAAATAGAGTGTGAAAAAGAGGTGTGCCTTAAAGCCAAGTCACAAGAATCATTTGCATCAGAAGAGCCGGCGAAAAGTGCAGTTAATACAGGAGACCTCCCTGAACACGCAGAACCACTCCACTCTGCGTTGGGAAAGCCGCCAGCTCCAAAAGCAGGAAGTATACCCAATAGCATGTTCACTCTTAATCTAGTTAAACTGGAAGACACGGGAAAGCCAGAATCCACCTTGGAAGCATCAATTAACCAAGACATGGGTGGTTTTCACACCTCTTTTGAGAATCTAAATTCGACAACTGTTACTTTGACAACTTCAGATTCAGAAAGCATTCAGCAGTCTTTGGAAACCCAAGAAGTGCTTGAAATAACTACCAATCATCTTGCTAACCCAGACGTTACAAATAATTCAGCGGAAATTAAGTCAGCACAGGAAAATTCAATCTTACTCAGCACAATTCCTCAAACGGTTGAAGAGTTAAACCCAAATAAAGAACCTGTTATTGCCATTTATGTACCCACAGAAAGTTCCAAACCCACCATTAATTCTTTGATGCCTGTCCAAAAAGAAACTGAAGAAATGGAAGACACAGACAGTGAAGACTCCTGTAAGGAGCTGGACTATGGGACAGAGGTCTCACAACTGGAACATTCTTACTGCAGACAGGACATAAATAAGGAGCATCTTTGGCAGAAAGTCTGTAAGCTACATTCAAAGATTGCTCTTCTCGAGCTAAAAGAGCAACAGACTCTCGGGAGATTGAAGTCTCTGGAAGCTCTTATAAGGCAGCTGAAACAGGAGAACTGGCTCTCTGAAGAAAAGGTCAAGATTATTGAAAACCATTTCACAACATATGAAGTTACTATGCTATAAAGAGATCTCAAAGCTTCCTAGAGGACGTATGTAAGCATTTTGCAGCCAAACCAAATTATATGTCAAATGAACTTTTTCCTGCATAAATTTCTCCGCTTAATGAAGCTCAAAAAGTGCCCTAACATTAGGAACTGTGTCCTGTTCTTGTAATGCTCATTTTTTAAAGAAAAACTAGAGTGTTGTTGCACTGTAGATAAGTTCTGTTACTGGTCATTTTCCAAATTAGAGTTAAAATATAGTGAATAAGGAATGAGTTTGTCCTAAAATGAGAGAACCAGATATGGTTAAAAAAGAAAAAGCCCAGAATAAAGGCTCAGGCCTGGTTCTATCGTTGGCACGTGACTGAGGCAAGGTACTTATCAAGATAGAGCTCAGTCTCTAACCTGTAGAATAAAGACTAATGAGGTCTGCTCCCTTATAGTTCCTTCCCCTTCTAGTCAGGTAACCTTACTGGAACAACTTGTCTGTAAGCTGATCTGTACTTACAGAATACTGGGTGTGGGCCAGAATGAAATTATTAACGACTGAATTATCCTCAATATTTGTGGGATTTTATGTTGTTTGAACATTTGGCTAAAGTTATCCATAATAACAAAAGGGAAATAGTCCCTTTATAATTTTATTCCATTTGAACTAAGATGAGGAACCACCCATTAGCCCAGTTCTTAGGAAAGGTACTTTAAACTTAAAAGAAGGTGTATTTCAGTACCTTATATGTGGTTAACCATCATTATACATAGTCATTTAAACTTCTGAACATCCTATATTTAAGATTATAATTTATAAACCAAAAATTTCAATGAGGTTCATTTTTTACATATATATAACTATATTTTAGAAATCACAGTATGTATCTATTTAATATGTGTAGCTTTTTAAAATGAGTGCTTGTGTTATTTTTAAATTCCAGAATGATAGAGTAATATTTAATATCATACATTCCCACTTATGTATATTTTATTAAAACTTATATGCAAGAAATTATAGGTATGTCATGATGACCTTCAGGAGAGAAGTAGGAAAAATCAGTGATGGGATGTAAATAAAAAATGCTGCATATATTCATATGAATTTAAGAAAAAATAAAAACAAAAACAGTGGTAACAATGTGAAAAATCAATACTCTCCTGAAATTGGCAGTATAATTAAATATGTTACTATTTATGGTATTAAGCAAGTTTCTATAAATCTGATTCTTATTTATTTTTAATTAGGTTGGCAAACAAGACATTTTCTTTTATATAAAAAATGCTTTTATCTTGAGGGACGGTTTTGACAAATCTATAAGGTAGCAATTATATTTTTGGTCCTGGAAAATAGAGGAGCTCAATAAATATGAGTGGACTGCACAGTAAATAGTATACCAACAGTTCTGTAAATGCATGATGATTATTTTTAGCTATTGCTTAACTTTTTCAGGCTAATAAAAGTAGTTGGTGTTATATGAATATATGTCAGCTAGTTGTAAAAAGTTGATTATAAGTGTTCTTATTGTGTCACCACGGGGAGGAAAACTTCACATTTTACATAAATTAAGAGATTTGGTAAATGAATTCCCATGTTGTATTTTGCTAATACTTCTTTAAAATTAATATAGATGAAAATGGCCTTTGTAAGTCATCTAAAAATGTTACAACTCAGTTTATCACTGTATACCATGTAACTTCTATGTGTTTAAAGTTGTTTAGCTTTATTTCTTTAAACTTAATAAATCATAAATATTTTAAAAATTTGCTTGGCTTGTCTATATTCAGTTTTGGATGTTCTTAACCTGTTAATCTCTAAATGTATTTGGGGGTTCTAGCCACGTTTATTTTTTACTGGATAATCATAGGAACCACTTAGCTAGTTTTCAGTCCCCCACTTCCATATCATCCTGACTGCTGTCAGCTTTTACCCTGAGCTATAAATCTGTCACACTACTTAACTGTTATTCCATACTTTCTGGGAAGTAAAATTTAATGTTCAAAGTACTATACAGAGTGTCAAAATAAATTCAGAGATGGAATTTTCTTGATTACTGGCCAAAAGCTGTTTAAATGACTGAACTCTAATTCAGAATGCACCGTGATACATAGGACATTCCTCACTGATGCAGGAGCCAGAGTCACAGCAAGCCTACTCTGGTATTTTTCCTGTGCCTGGTTCAGGCGTTCCATTGGTTAAAATGCACAGCATCTGAATATGCACCACAGACTAGAGTATGAATGTGGAATGAGTACTCTTACTGAGCTTGTAAACTTGCTCAGTCTGCTTGAAAATGAATTCTCTGACATGAGACAAGACTGTATCTGCACCAGGGATGAACAGGAAGTCAGCTCAGTGGTGAGGTATTAAAATAATCACTTGAACAGTTTTTGAGGGAGTTTAATCACTTTAACAGTTTTAACTGTTTAATCCCTTTAACAGTTTTTGAGGGAGTGTTATTCACTGAGAAGGGAAGGCAAAGGGCAATACTCGGGTTTTCAGAGAATCCCAGGAAACCATCCAGTAAAGCATTCCCTCCTTGGCTGGAAGATGAGTGTGATCAGGAGGCACTTGTTAGCCTTGCTGCCATTTGGTGCTTTGGAGTCAAACCTTTCGGCACATGGGCTTTCGGTGCACCTGTTTGGTTTCATTAATTTGGGGAATGACAGCGCACAGGGAAACCATGCAGAACCTAGGAAGGGCTCGGAGGACTGGGGAATCGGGCTTCCCTCACGAATACAACCTAGTGTCCTCTGTCAGTAGGCAGAAGCGCAGTGCTGGTGTCACCACCGAGATCCACGTTCAAAGAAAAGTACTGAAACAGCCTTAGAGAAAAAAGAGCAGTGAATAAGCTGCTCACTCCTTCCTTAGCACCAGCTGGGGACTGAGGGCTACACGAGTCCTGTGCTGTGCTGCCTGGCGGGGACTCACTCTGCACCCGGAGGCTGGGTCCCTCCACACATACTGGGCTGTGGGCGAGGACCTTCTGGACAGCGGCCGTGGGCCTGGTGGCGAGGTCCCCAAGAAGATGGAGGAAGCGTGTTCAACCTGGGGCCACTTGTGACAGAGCTGATTACCGTCATCAAAGGAGGCAGATGCTCACCACGCTACACCTTCTGTTCTGCATGGGGAGCCTCGGCCCCAGGACCAGCCATGGACCAAGAAGCTAGTGATGGTCAAGGTTGTTCCCATGTGCCTCAGGGCTCTGCTAGAGATGGCACGGGCAGGGGGTGCCTCCTCGTGGAGAACACTTGGATCTGCACATTTCCAACACTACCCCCTCATATCAGAGCAGTACAAGGCCTCCCTGCAGGACCGGGTCACTGGCCAGGTCTGAACCCACCACTCATGGACGCAGGTCCCTCACCTCCACCAATACACTACTTCTTGCCACCGTCACATACAAAAAATTAAGAAAGAGTGTGAAGAAAAATGAGGCCAGGTATAGAACAGAATGTGATGGGGATACACTGTTGATGGGATGGATGGTCACTTGAAGGGGTGATGGGTGGGACAGATGAGCTGTTTGGGAAAGATCGGAAAACTGTTCCAGAATGAAGGAGACGGAGAAACATGACAACGGAATGAAGTTTGTGGTTTGGGTGGTAGTTGTGAATCGGTGATAATTTCCTGATTTCGGAGGTTGTGTAATGATCTTAGGAGAAATAGTTTGTGGGAAATTCACACTGAGCTAATAGGCCGACCCGGGGCGTCAGGTCAACAACTAACCCTGACATGGTCCAGGAAACCAAGCTGTTTGTATTCTATTTGTAAGGTTTTTAAAGATTTGGGATTATTACAACAGCCGCCACCACCAACACATAACCCTCTCCAACACTTCCCCTCGGCACCCCAAGGATAAGCCACAGATTCATCCTTGGACAGAGAGGCCAAATCTTAACTTGCTTTCCTTTTTCTTCCTTCCTTTATTTATTTTTGTTGACCTAGGTTTTAGCAGTCATTAAATCATGTATCACCACACTATCAACAAGTCAGAAGTTTCTGAGAGTGGGCCGAAGGCTGGCTGTTACCGAGGGGGAGACCTCTGGAAGGCCTGCTAGTCACATATCCCTGTCTTTTCAGGGTTTCACATGTAGGACAGTTTTCTGAAACTGTCTTAAAGGCATTCAATTATTATACTAATTGGTAAGCACATTAAAAAAAAGTCACCTAATACCCATTTTCGAGAATCAAGTTACTTTTGTTCAAAAATTCTTTGCAGTGAGCCGTTATTGAAATAGACAATAATCCCCAAATAGGAGCCAAGCCAAAATATTTGCCTGCAGAATTATTTTTGCTCATTCATCCAAAGAGACATATTTTAACAACATCTCCTCGGTCAACTTACCACAGGAAAAGAATTGCTATGAAATATGCCTTTCAAGTAAAAAAAAAAAAAAAAAAAAAAAAAGCAGGACCTAGTGCAGAATTCTGAAAACCCTAAAAAGTTATTATTCTTACGTCCTTTTCCTTTCTTTTCTCTCCTCACCATAATTAAATATATTTAAAACTCAAGAAGCTTGGAAAAGCAAATTTGTTACTTTGGGGCCATCTGCTGTTAAAATGACAAACACATTTGCCTTTTGTTCTTTTTTGTAAATTTTGCATTGAGAGTATTTTCAATATAACAGAAGTTAGAAGCTAATAACACAGTTAAAATACTTGAAAAATAAAAGTGAAATATACTTCAGGTATATAACCCGCTGATTAGATGTACTTATTCATAGTGAAATGATTACTACAGTCAAACTAAGTAGCATCATCTCCTCAGGTAGCTACCATTCCTTTGTGTGCACCTGAAATCCACTCTCTTAGCATATTTGGTGCAGTGATAAGTGTAGTCATCATGCCTGTAAATTAGATCTCTAAACTTATGCATCCGGCATAACTATTACTTTGCACACTCCATCCAACACTTCTGCATTTCCCCCACCACCCCAGCCTCCGTGACCACCGCTCTGCTCTCTGCCCACCGAGGAGGCTTTGGGGGAGAATCTGCGCATTTTCCAACCCTTCTTGAATCACGCCACACAAAACTCACTTCACGTACAGGTAAAATCATATATTTCAGTGTATAAATGCTCATTATCAGAGTAGACAGAATAACACAGTCTGAGGTTGGAACCTTGATTTGACACTTACCTGCATACAGCAACCACAAATACTGTTTAAAAGCATGCCGAGTTGTATTTTAATGCCATTGATGGTGTTGCTATTGAAAATGTGATTTTTCCAAAGGAATGAACAGCTCTTGGTAAAGCCCTAAAGAAAACAGAGCCAATTCTTTCCTCTATATTCATGATAGTGGAATTTTTGGAAAATGCAGAAAATTAAAACCATACCAAGAAAATACTATGTTCATGAAAACTGAATAAAACAGAACTACTATCCTGGTGAGCATGTGTTTTACTTCATGAAAATCTGAAAAACATTCAAATACAGAGCAAGACCTGGTCATTCGTTATAGTGTGGACAGTTGCATGCAAGGAAGATGTCCAGTCTCCAGCCCAAGCCACCAAATGCCAGCCAGTGCTCTTATAATTATAATATCCCCAAGTGACCCGCGAGGCCCGTGTCACCACACTCCTGCACGAGATTCATTTTCACCACAATTAGACAAAGAACAGACAAATAAAATTTTTTTTAGTTTATTCTGTAAATTTTTAAAAAATAAGATCTATATATGAAATATAACATTTCCTATAGATCCACAGAAATAGGCCCTTCATTATAACCTAAATCTTAATACAGAGAAAAGCATAATTGTCTGACCTTGACATTTAAAATACTAATATGAAAGAGATCATAGTACAGTCTTCAGATATTACGATGCTATGTAAGGCATAGCTTGGTAAAAAAAAAAAAAAAAAGGAAAGTGTAATTCCCATAATATTTTTCAAATTTTATATTTGTTTCAGGTGTACAGTGTAGTAGTTAAGACAATCATATACTTTACAAAGTGTACCCCCCCCCGAATATTTCCAGTACCCACCTGGAACCATACATCGTTATTGCAATATTACTGACTATACTAGTATTCCCTATGCTCTACTTTACATCCCTGTGACTATTTTGTAACTTCTTACTCCCTTCACCTTTTTTCACCCATTCCCTCAAGACCCTCTCATCTGGCAACTCTGTTTATTTTGTTCTTTAAGTTCTACATCATATTTGTCTTCCTCTGATTTATTTCACTTAACATAATACTCTTTAGTTCCATCCATGTTATTGCAAACAGTAAAATGTCATTCCTTTTTATTGCTGAGTAATAGTAATCTGATCATCTATGGATGGGCACTTGGGTTGCTTCCAAATCTTGCCTATTGTAAATATGCTGCAATGAACATAGGGCGTGCATATATCTTTTGAATTAGTGTTTTAGATTTCAGAAGCGAAATTGCTCAGTCATAAGGTAGTTCTATTTTTAATTTTTAAAGGAACCTTCACACTGTTTTCCACAGTGGCTACACCAATTTGCAATCCTACCAATAGTGCACAAGGGTTTCCTTTCCACCACATTGTCGCCAACATTTGTTGTTTGTTGATTTATTGGTAATAGACATTCTGATAGGTGTGAGGTGTTATCTCATTGTGGGTTAAATTTGCCTGCCTCTGATTAGTGATGTTAAGCATATTTTTATATGTCGATTGGCTATCTGTATGTCCTCTTTGAAGAAATGTCTATTCATGTCTTCTGCCCATTTTTTAATTGAAATTTTTTTCTTTTTCTTTTTTTTTTTTGCGTTGAGATGCATGAGTTCTTTTTTTTTTTTTTTAATATATTTTATTGATTTTTTTACAGAGAGGAAGAGAGAGGAATAGAGAGTTAGAAACATTGATGAGAGAGAATCTTCGATCAGCTGCCTCTTGCACACCCCCTACTGGGGATGTGCCCACAACCCAGGTACATGCCCTTGACCAGAATCAAACCCGGGACCTTTCAGTCCTCAGACCAACGCTCTACCACTGAGCCAAACCGGTTTCGGCGAGATGTATGAGTTCTTTATAAATTTTGGATATTAACCTCTTATCAAATGTACCATTGGTAAATATGTTCTCCCAGTGGATTGTCTTTTCATTTTGTTGATGGCTTTCTTTGCCTTGCAAAAACTTTTTAGTTTAATGTAGTCCCATTTGTTTAATTTTTTTTCCTTTGTCTGATATATATATATCAGAGAAAAAATAATATTAGAGAGTTTATTGCCTATGTTTTCTTCTAGAAATTTTATAATTTCAGGTCTTACATTTAAGTCTTTAATCCACTTTTAGTTTATCTTTGTATATGGTACAAGAAAGTAATATAGTTTCATTTTTTTTTGCATGTATGTGTTCAATTCTCCCAACATTATTTATTGAAGGTCTGTCTTCACCCTCTTTTATAATCTTGCCTCCTTTGTCATATATTAATTGACCACATAAGCATGGATTATTTATGGGCTCTTTTTTGTGTCTATGTGTCTGTTTTTCATAAGTAATTTTAAAAGTTTTAAACATTTTACTGTAATATTTTATTACAAAGTTTATGGTGTTAAAATTTTTCTTAAAATTGTTATGGGTCTTAGAAAATTTCTTGCAAATGTTATGGGTCAATGTGAGAAAAAAAAACTAAGAAAAATGGGGAAAGAATACAAATAAGAAATAAAAAATATATAATGTGAAAAAGAAAAGAGGACACATACAATTAAAATGGGAAATGGACCTAGCTGGTTTTGCTCAGCGGATAGAGCACTGGCCTGCATACTGAAGGTTCCCAGGTTCGATTCTGGTCAATGACTTGTACCTTGGTTGCAGGCTCCTCCTCAGCCTGGGCCCTCGTCAGGGTGAGTGCAGTAGGCAACCAATCAATGTGTTTCTCTCACATCAATATTTCTCTCTCTCCCTTTTTCTTCCACTCTCTCTCTAAAAATAAATGGAAAAATATCCTCAAGTGAGGATTAAAAAACAAAAACAAACGAGAAAATAATTTGGGAACAAGACATATGCAGTATGTTGCTCCTTTGTCTTCCTCAAAGTTACTTTCTATGACTCAGTAATTTCAGTGATCAAAGAAACTCACATGGGTATTTCTTATTCATCTGATAAATTTATGGATTCAGGTAGAATAACAAATTAAGAAAAATCTTTAAATCCTGGACAGTTAACTCGCTGGGGGGAAAAAATGACCTAATTTATTCATTTCTTCTAATCTGCCCTGAATTGCTTCAGGTTTCCTGGAGCATTAAATATGAAACTGAATCTGTTCCTTAGGAAGATTCAAGATAATGAAAGTTTGAGGGAAATAGTAGAAATATGGGCAGAAGGGAAGAAAACTCACAAGCTTACATAGTAACTTAGCATCCTAATTTCATAGTTCCGATGATTTTTCTAAGTAGTTCCCAAAAGTTCTAAAGAATATTTTTTTCATTTATTGAAAGACCGATAACTTTAAGAGTTAAAGAGAACTCAAAGATTTCAGCATAGCTTTCTGTCTCCAAGGAAATGTAAATTAACTGTGGACCAAGACCTCTATAAATTATTCAAAAACAGAAAAGGGGGAAAAATTACTTTCCTTGGGAACTCATTTTAATGCATAGCAGCATATTGGTCTAAGTTACGCTTTTCCCATTACTTAAATATATTTAGAAAGTTCTTAAAATTATTTTTGGAGGTATTGAGGGAGTCGAGCCAGGTCCTTAAACTTGACCTTTCAAAGGAAAAGTCTAGATAAACTTATTAGAGTGGAAGGCCAAGAGTTCTATTTCTCTTGATTTCCAGATAAGTAACTTCCTACCAAAATGATGATAATCCAGAGAAGTTTCTTACTGGCCTCTCCCCCTTATCTGTTTTTATCAGGGTGTGAGCTGAAGGGGTATCTTATCTTATTAACAAAGCAGAGCTTGGGTTTGAGCTGAATTCATTTACCCAATGTTTTCCATGGAATGAAAAGGGCTGAGTTCAAAGCTTAAGGAGAGACCATGTTTCAGACTGAGGGAACTAAAATAAACTCAAAAGATTCAGAAACCATGAGACCCAGGATGCCTGGACGGGCCAAGGAAACCCTGTGCATTGGAAAACAATGCAGTGTTGCAACTGTAGGCGGACTGAACATCAGGAGTCTCAGCATGGGCGTCCTTTAGAGATGGCAGGGACTAAATCAGGACTGGGATGAGTAAGTCCTTTCACCTGGCTGCCACAAGGCATGGTTTTAATCAAGGGATAAAATATCCTTCCTACCTCCCTCCACTCTTTTTCACTCCTGATGGAAAGGAAGTAAACCTGAGCACTGCGCTGTGGGGTTAATGGCACAAGAGGTAATTCCACAGGTCAATTGTCTTCTGCTTAAGCCAATGGCTTCCCCCAAGAACAAAGAGCAGCAAGTCAAAACAGCTAATCGCCGTCACACTCAAGAAGATCTCGTTATAATATGCAATCTCGTTGTTACAGTCATTGGAGCGTGCCACCGTGTACAAGTAATAGATCCTAAAGAGCTGGTAGGGGAGGAAGCAGATCATGATGACCCCTATGAAGAACAGGTTTTTCAACTGGGCCCAGAACTCCTGGTGGGACAGCAGGGAGTGGCGCAGCCTCCGCCCCATGGTCATGATGATGAAGATCTGGAAGACCAGGAGAACCAGCGCGATGGCGATGACAACGGTGACTATCAAATAGTTGATGACCCGCACGTACGTACGGGTGAGCTCTTTGTGGAAGTTAAAACAGTTGTGCATGTCGTACACTTCAAGGCTCCCGTACTGGGAAGCGATCAGGGGCACCATGATGACAATCACCAGCAGCCACAGGCCCACGCTGGCGGCCACCGCATGCAGCTTCCTGTAGAACTCCACCTTGTCCTTGCGCTTGAAGAAGATGAGGTACCTGATGACCAGGATCACCAGGTAGAACAGGAACGTGAGGTACATGTGGATGTGCAGCATGGCGCTCACGAACTTGCAGAAGGGCAAGCCGAAGAGCCACCGGTGCCTGATGAGGTAGGCCAGGCGGAAAGGCACGGTGAGCAGGAAGACGCTGTGGATCACCACCAGGTTCACGACCGCCGTGGTGGTCACCGAGCGCGTGTTCATCTTCACGAGGAGGAACAAGATGGAGATGACGCCCACCAGCCCGCCGATGAGCACCGCGCCGTACAGCCAGGTGAGGTGGGGCGTCAGGATGGGTTTGCAGGAACTATTGTTGGCAGCCATCCTTCAGAAGCCACCTGGAAGAGACAAAGTGCCCGCGTAACTGACAAACTTCCAGAACTTTGTACGTGCGATGGCATGGTGGCTGTGTCATTTACCTGTTTACATGACGTCAACTTTATATGCCTCAAAAATTACATACAACCCTGTGAATGTACCAGGAACCACCGGATGCCATGCTGTGGAACAGTGAATTATTTTATGGTGTGAGGGTCCCATCCCCATATGGCCATTGCTCAGAGAGGGAAAGAAGAAAGCTGTCTGAGCTGAGACTCTGGTGAGGAGGAAAAGGAGTGAGAACCATCCCCGGTTAGGTGAAGAATGAAGACAGAATCCATGGTGCCAAGAGCTGCGTTCTTGCTGGGTGGCCCTGGTTAGCCAGCATGGTGCCAGGGGGCCAGGATCGGGGAGCTTTGGGTGGCCAGACTCAGACTAAATGTCCTGGTTCTGCTGACCTTATTCTACAACCTTCTTTGCTTCCCACGCCACCCCTGGATTCACGTCCTCCTATTTGCACAGAAGAGAGGGGCCCACCCTCTGACCCCCCTCAGGAGAGAACACCCCTGCCCATCATTTCTGCATAGAACTTGCCAGCAGCATCACACTTTTCCCTGACACCCCAGACCCACCCCAGAAACGCAGGGTCCGTGGAAGCTGTGGAAGTCCCCACGGTCTCCAGGGCCAGAGGAACCCCTCTCTCTGCACTGGGATCAGAAGACAAATCGCTCAATCTTACCGCCAGAGGGAAACCTTGAGTCTTCCTGGAGGCAGACAGAGAAAAGCGACGGGCACCTTCATTCACTAGCTCACAGCGGGGGGGCAGTTGAGTCTCAGTGCAGCTGTCCCTGCTGCCACTGGGGAGCGCCAGAGGCCCAGAGAGGTGGGTTCCGGCTCTCAAAGGCAGAGCCGTGCTTCAACCCACCCTCTGTGCCCTTCTTCAAGGTCAATGTTAGCAGCCAGGACGAATAGCCAGCCTGGGCTAGAAGAGGCAGAACCCTGAGCAGAGGCTGCAGTGGGGCCAGGGCTTCCCTGCCTTTGAGAAGCCCGTAGAGCACATCCTCTCTGGGACGCTCGCTGAGGACAAGCAGGATCATTCTCTTGCATCTCCCCGGGAACACCGAGCAGCATCTACTCCAAATATGTTCACACCAGGCCCCGAAGGACTGCTCCCCTGAGGACTGCCCGGGGTAGCCGAGAAAAGCCGAGCATATGGGCAGCAGCGTGGGCAACAACCAACCAGAGGGCAGCTCCAAAGAAGTCATCGGACGGAGTTACAAGCCCAGTGACATGTCAAAGGCCCCTCCTTCTCCACGTTCAGGCTCTCAGTCCCCCTCCCGACCCGGGAAGGAGGCCCCTGCTTCGCTGAGGCTGTTCCAGGCTTCACTCATCAAAACGAGGAGCTGGAACCCAGCGCCCTCTGGGCCTGCGCTGCCGTTCCTGCCGTCACCGGGAGGTGGACATGGCTCCCCTTTGCGGCTTCTGGTTACCGACAAGGCAGTGAGTGAGAGCGGAGGCTGGGCCGCGGGAGGTGGACACTCACAGACGTGGTTCCCTCAGAGGCAGAGCCACACCCTCCCGAAGCCCCCTCCGCACAGCTTACCCCCTGCTTTCTGCCACTGAGGACAGGCCGCCGAGTCTCCACTCCAGCAGGGAGTTTTGCTCGGATCCATAGGTCATAGGTAATAAAATGTGGGTCAGTGGATGGAACGTCAGCCTGCAGACTGAAGGGCCCCAGGTTTGATTCCGGCCAAAGGCTCATGCCCAGGTTGCAGGCTCGATCCCCAGTATGGGGCATGCAGGAGGCAGCTGATCAATGCGTCTCTCTTATCACTGATGTTTCTAATCTCTTTCCCTCTCCCTTCTTCTCCGAGATCATTAAAAATGTACGTAAAAGGGGCTGTGCACCCTGACCATCTCCTTAACTGGAAATCTTGCTTCAAAGAAGCACCATTTCCCAAGGATTGTGCTTTGTTCTCCGCAGATGTCTCGTGTGTGGGCTTGTGAGCCTGGAGTCCCCGGGTGCCCGGTGCAGCGGGTCCTCGCCACCCTCACCATCTGGCCTCCTCAGTCGTCCCAGCGCCCAAGGACAGACAGGAACATGTCAGGGAGGCAGGGGACCAGGGGGGCAGGAGGGCTTCAGGGAAAGGTGTGGCCGTCAGCCATGCAGTGACTTTCTCCCTCTCGCTTCCTCTAGCCCTGAAGAGCTGCAAGAGGAGAGGGGAGGGCCATCACTAAGGGGAGGGCCATCACTAAGGACGGCTGCTCTCCCCTCTCCTGGCTCAGCCTGAGGGCTCAGCAAGGCCATAGCAGCTCCTCCTTCCTGCACACTGTGACCATCTCCTGTGTTTATCCAAATGTTCATCGCTTTTTCATTATCTTCTTTTTATCATAAGAATTACCAGGTTTCCTTCTCTTTTCTCAGTGGTTTTGTTTTGTTATTTTACTTATCACACACAAAAAGAGGCACCAAGTTAAAGAAACTAAAGCATAATTGGAAGGTGGACAGGATTTTTTCACTCTTTTAAATATTTTGGTACAATTGCTGCTAGTGGTTTTCGATGCATCTACATTAGTGAGATAGTTACAATCACAATGTAGCTCATTTTTCAGCCCATATTTTTCACTAATAATATACTGAAGCACTTAGTCTTTTTTTTTTTTTAAATATATTTTATTGATTTTGTACAGAGAGGAAGGGAGAGAGGTAGTTAGAAACATCAATGAGAGAGAGTCATCAATCAGCTGCCTCTTGCACACCCCCTACTGGGAATATGCCCGCAACCAAGGTACATGCCCTTGACCGGAATCGAACCCGGGACCCCTCAGTTCCCAAGCTGACGCTCTATCCATTGAGCCAAACCGGTCTCGGCTGAAGCACTTAGTCTTAAAGCATCCTTATTTTTATTTTTTTAAATATGTTTTTATTGATTTTTAAAATTTGTTTTAGAGAGAGATGACGAGAGAGGGACAGAGAGATAGAAACAATGATTGGGATCCACTGCTTCCTGCATGTGTCCTACTAGGGACTGAGCCTGCAACCCAGCCATGTGGCCTGACCAGGAATTGAGCCGGTGACCACTTGGTTCCTAGGTTGATGCTCAACCACTGAGCAGCACTGGCCGGGCAAAACTACTTTTAAATGACTACAGAACATCCCCCCCAGCGGACATCTCCAACGTTATTTAACCAAATTTCCAGCAATGGGGCATTTCTAACTTCCTGGAATTACCAGTAAGTCTATGATAAACATTTTTGTGAATTGAGCACTTTATATATTTTGAATTATTTTCGGAAGGGGGCATCCAAGAAAAGAGTGTTCACAGGACACGACATATCTGTGTATCTAGATTTGAGAGCCAGATTGCTTTAGTGACAGATGTAAATGTGAAGTATTTATTGCGAGTACAAATGCCATTCCTGCTTTCTAATGGAGGCTATTCCTGCCACGCAGCAGCGTGTTCTAACACTTTAGCCAAAGGACCCCATCATCCAGCAGACTTCACTCACGGTCCTTGCAGGCAGAACTCTGAAATGAGCAATGCCAGGGCTGCGGGTAAAATACTGGCCTCCAGGAACTCATTTCCCTGGAAGCCTGTGTCATCCCCTCAGCAAGCTAAGCAGCAGCGGGAAAATACTCCCCGAGTCCTCTAGGATGCATCTCCTGCTCACTCCAGGCCTTTCTCCCACACCCACTAAGCGCTCTGGACAAGACCCGGCCTCTTTCTTGGAGTCAATATCACCTGCCAACAAGTCGGTATGCTGCAGCCACCTGAACACTTTTTAAAAAAAAATATATTTTTTATTTATTTTTTTACAGAGAGGAAGGGAGAGGGATAGAGAGCTAGAAACATTGATGAGAGAGAAACATCGACCAGCTGCCTCCTGTACACCCCCCACTGGGGATGTGCACGCAACCAAGGTACATGCCCTTGACCGGAATCGAACCTGGGACCTTTCAGTCCGCAGACCGACGCTCTATCCACTGAGCCAAACTGGTTTCGGCTAGAGCCCTTTTCTTAATTCCTTTTTACTTTTTGAACTCAAAGTCCTTAAGTCCCCTTTTTAGAGACTGGAGACCACCCTGAGATTGTTACTTGGTTCCTGGTCAGCAGCTCAGCCCAGAGCGCTCTGGCCCAGGGAGCCATCGGTGGGTGTGAGGGGCTGGCAGCTGGAAGTGCCACGGCTCCGTGCCCAGGGATCCCTGGATGAGCAGCTGGGGCTCAGTCCTCTCCTAGGACTGCCAGGCTCGCGTCACCCTGTGCCTCTCCTCTGCCTGCTTTTGGTCTGGCTCACGGTCTGTTTCCCAGCCCCCTCTGGGTCTTGGGGCCTCCTGGACTCCCGTCCACCATTCCTGGCTCTCCTGTCTTCACTCCATGCCCTCCCAGTCATTTAGATGTGGCTCTCTGGTCAGTGACCTCCCAGGACCAGCCAGCCTGCGCTGTTGGGCTCAGCCTGGGGCTGACGTTCTTTTGGGCCCGTTTCCTGTAACTCCAGCCATCCTGTTCCCCTGCCCACCCCACGGGGGCTGAAGTCATTTCCTGTAGAAATCTCCCGTGTAGGAGGGGCAACCAACTTCCTTAGTTTCCCACCTAGTTCTCAGCTCCTTTTATCTTAGTTTGCTACCCAGCAGCCTCTGAACACACACTGTACCCACGCGGAGGGGAACTCTAAGATTAGATAGATCAGTCCCTCTGCAGTGGCTCATGATTCTCAGATATGTGTGGCAAAGGGCACGTATCAGTGATCTGAAGAGAGGAACTAAGCGGCTAGGGGAATTTGGTCCTCTGGAGAGGAAGGTGAGGACCAGTGTGCCCATTATTAAATACAAGGGGAGACCCGTGTGAGAATGGAGAGAGGAGCCAGCCATGGAGGAGGTAGGAAGAGGCACCAGATTCCCAATAATGCATCGGAGACTTCTTGGGAGGATGGTGCACAGGAAACCTCACCACTGGATCCATGGTCCAATGGGATGACCAAGTCTAAGACGTTACAATTTAACAAAG